GGAGACAAGAGGGAGAGCAAGGAGAGAAGCCCCCGGGATTGTGAGGCTGGGGGAGGGGGAGCAGATACGCGCTGAAGGGCAGCAGAGGAACGGGATTTTCAGAGGAGGGGGAACAGGTGCTTGGGAGGGGGCTGGGAGAGCAGGTCAGGGATCCTGGCATGGTCCTAAGAACTTGCGCAAGCGGCGTAGGTCTTGGTGAGGGCGCAGGCGGGGGTCGGCGCTGCGGGCCAGTCCAGATGTCCTGGCCGGCCGGCCGCAGCCTTGACCTCCCCTCTTGCCCTTGGCGCGCGGAGCCCCAGCGGCTGCTGAGTGTCTATATAAGGGCCGGCCGTGCTGGGGGCAGTAATCCGGTTCTGAGAAAGTGACACCGGCGCCCCCTCTCCGCTGCGGCCCTCGGGCAATCTCCCCTCCTCCTCCGGCCGGGCGAAGCTGGGTCTCCTCTCCCGGCAGGAATTCTTTCAGCCCTGGCTCGTATCCTTCCACTGACTGAGCAGAACCGGCCCTAGGGCAGGGTGATTCGGGGTTAGCTACCCCCGCCAGCTCCAGACCCCCGTGGAGAATCGCAGGAGAGAAGAAAGACTCCGCTTCTTGGGTCTTTTGCAAACATTTTTTAAGTGATGGTAAATAGCCTCCTTAGAATGTGTTCTATTTTTATACAAGGCTCACCCAATGTTTCTTGTTCATCTCCTGGTGTTATAACTATTATAGCACGCCAGCAAAGGAAAGGGAGTTGAGAATTTAGCCTTAGAAAAGGGATCAATCATCCCGAAACTTTCTCCCACAAAATCACTCCTATATTTTTCTGGCAGAATAGAAATAGCTTTTTTTTTTTTTTTTTCAGATGATAAAAATAGGTGCTTCTGTATATTTAAAAATCAAGCTGAGAAATGCAAAGGAGAAAGAGATAATTACAGTTAATGTGTTGTCGACCCTTCCAGACCTCTCTTCTATGCATTTATAACCCTGTAGAGATGTAGAAACATGATTTTGTGCAAATGGGATCATAGTCAGCTTGCCAAGTGTTTTTATTCCATTTTATTTTTGTCCACCCACAAGCTAAAGCCTATTCTTTAAAAGCTGTTCTGGAGACCAGTTACTTTGCAAAGCAAAATAACCTTTGTATTGTCTTAGCATGAACACAGGGCTGTATTTCCTGTCCAGGACGAATTTGTGGTGGCTCAGGCCAGGCCCCTGGGCAAGTACAGAACCTAGCACACCTTGGGCTATCTAAAACCGTGGAGGGCAGGAGCCCCGTTAGCAATGTAAGACACAAGCGTCTGGAAGAAAGAGGTCTTCAGGTTGGCCAGGAGCTTGCAAGAGGGGTCGAGATGTTTCTGCCAGTCACAGAGTGAATCATCTGAACTAGACACACTGGAGCCTGAAGGTTCCTGAAGGTTGGGAAGGTTCAGTGGTTCTGAACCCTAGCCGCTTATCAGAGGCTCCTGGGGCCTCGTAAGCCCCCATCTCATCTCCACCCCCAGATAAACCGAATCAGAATATCCCCATTTGTAACTGGGGAAATAGGAAATAGTGACTAAGGTAATTTACATAATGCAATGAGCCTGTGGTCCCAGGGCTGGTAGATGACAACCTTGGAATTCAAACCCAGGTCTGCCTGACCCCGGAAATCACTACGATTGCTTCCCCTTAGAAAAGGGAAGTGTCGGACTTGGACTTAGCTGTTAGCCCTCCAGTTTGGTGTTCCTGCCGAGCCTCTATAAAGCTTTCTTCTCAGTATCTGTGTGCTGATTGCAGAACCAGCTGTAGAATTGTCGGGGCCCCTCATTTAGATCTTAAGAATCTCAAGACAGTGACAGCAGAACACTAAACTGAGTGGGAGGCCCCTCTGAGCACAGGGTCCTGGGCAGTTGCACAGGTAGCACACCTGTGAAGCCGACAGCCAAGCTGGCTTTTAGGAAAAAAAAAAATCTCTGAATTAGGAGTCAGTTCTGCCTCTACCACTGAGGAAACACCGGGCTGGTTACTGCGCCTCCGAGAGCTTCTTCAGCTCACTCATCTATGAAATAGGCTCATTGGAACGTAATCCTGGACTCTTCTGCCTGGCTGTTGTGAAACTCTATTGAGACCTTTGTCAGTAGTAGGGTCTAAGGCACTTGTGAGAGGTAGTTACCATCATTTGTAAGGCCGTGGGAGGATGTGTTTCCTGGGATGCAGGCATTTTCCAGGTCAGGCTTTCATGAGAAGCCTGAATGAGGACAAAGCTCAGAGTGTGGTCCTCAGGTGAACAGCATCTATGTCCCCTGGGAGCTGGTTAAGAAATGCAGAATGCCAGGCACCACTCCCCCTCACCCCAGACCTGCTGAATCAAAATCTGCATAATATTTAAAAAGTGATGGGCTAAAAGAGGCAGGATCTCCTTATTAGACCTGGAGCTTCTCAGTAGGGGCAGGGGGGACCAGGTCTCTCACCTCCAGGACCCCCAGCTCTCTACGGGAAGAGGAGAGGAAGCAGTGGATGTTGGCTGCATGACCGAACGATTGAATGATGAATGAATGACAGTCCCGGATACTTTAAGCCTTGACCTATCCAAAGAACCTTCCAGACCAATAGACTTTTTTCTAGAACAGTTTTATTTTTTTAATTTAAAAAAAATTTTTTTTAACGTTTATTTATTTTTGAGACAGAGAGAGACAGAGCATGAACGGGGGAGGGTCAGAGAGAGAGGGAGACGCAGAATCTGAAACAGGCTCCAGGCTCTGAGCAGTCAGCACAGAGCCCGACGCAGGGCTCGAACTCACAGACCATGAGATCATGACCTGAGCCGAAGTCGGACGCTTAACCGACTGAGCCACCCAGGCGCCCCTCTAGAACAGTTTTAGATCCACAGCAAAATGAAGCTGAGTTACAGTTTCCATCTACTCTCTGACCTCCGCCACCATCAACATTCTGCACAGAGGGGTACATTTGTCACAATCAACAAACCAACCTCATTTATCCACATCGTTATTATCATCACTGTACATCTTATCAAGCACGGTCTATAGTTTACATTAGGGTTACTTTGTGTTGTACATGTTGTGGATTTTGACACATGCCTAACGCATATCCACCATTATAGTATACAGATAGTTTCACTAACCTAAAAATCCGCCAAGCCCCACGTAATCATCCTGGCCCCCTCCCCCAAGCCCCTGGCAACCACTGATCTTTTTACTGTCTCCATGGTTTTGCCTTCTGCAGACTGTCATAGAATTCGGATCGTACAGTGTATGGCCATTTCAGACTGGCTTCTTTCCCCTATAGCAACATGCATTTAAGCCTCTTCCATGTGTTTTCATGGCTTGAGAGCTCATTCCTGTTTATCGCCGAGTAAGATCCCATGGTGTGTATGCACCGTAGTGTCATTATTCACCTACTGAAAGATGTCTTTGTTGCAGTTTGAACATTTTCTAAAATGCTGTGGGGCTAAAGAGACGGCTCCTCGACCCCTGGTTTGGGACCTCTGGCACAAACTGTAAGTTCTTCCAGGGCAGAGGGCCGCTGTCTCTCACAGGGAAAGAAACCAAGGCAGGTGGCTGAACTCGAAGGCTC